GTGCTGAATATCCAAAATCCTTTTGTTTTTTATTTTTTGACCGGTCAAGGTGGACAGCTTTTTGAGTTAGTCAAAAATCTGAAATGCAACTAAACAATATTCCTTAATTTCACAGCTGCGCATTACTTTGTGTTGTTCCATCACGTAAAACCCAAGTCGAAAACAAAGACGTTTTTGTTGCTGGATAATCCAACAGTTTACAAGACGTTAAAAAACAAGTGAGCGGACCTTGATCTGCTGCTGCATCTTCTTGCTGTTCTTGTTGAGCTCCGCGTTGCTCTTGGTGAGCAGGTCCAGCTGCACCTCCAGCTCGTTTATGTCCGCCTCCAGTTTCTTCCTCAGCTTCAGCGCCTCCGTTCTGCCCTTCACCTCCACGTCCAGACTGGCCTGCAGGGACTCCAGCGCCCTCTGGTGGCTTTTTCTGAGAAGACGGCAGTCGCTTTTCAGAGTGAAGCTCAAAACGGGCAGTAAAGCTCGTTCAGAAAGTCGAAACGGCCTCAGGCTTACTTACCTCTAGAGTTCGCACAGTGACGTTATTGGCCCGCAGCAGTAAATATTAATGCATAATAATAATAAGACACAGTTCGAGTCAAACTTAAGAACAGCTAGCTAACTAGCTAATTTACTCTCGCTAGCTTGCAAGTGTAAATTAGCAGGTCGTTTCCTCAACCGCCTCGAGTTGAGTGGCTCAAACGTTTGGCTGACAGAAAAGTCTCGCAACAAATAAAGAAAACACAATATGTACAAGAATGTACGGGATTAAATAAATATATAAAACCTGTGATTAACATATTTAAGGACAACACGCATTTTCAAATCAATCCAAGTCCTCTTTTTCAGATCCATGAATTTAAGACTTTTTAAAGACGTGCAGACACCCTGATTCAGGAGAAGCTCACCTCGCCGCTTCAGCCTCCTCCTCCTTCTCCTGCAGTCGGCGCTCCAAGTCTCCTTTAGCCTGGGACAACTCCAACTGAAGCCTCAACACCTTGGTCTCCTCCGCCTGGAGAAAACAAAGGGGGAAAAAAAAACATGGTTTACCACGACAACAATCGCACATTTTGCTTCAAAAATGACATTTCCGATGTCGTGCCAAACCTCCAAAGCTGCCTCCAATTCCTCGAGCGAGGCCTGCAGCTCTTCTTTCTCCATCTCAATCTTCTTCTTGGATTTCTGGAGCTCATGGACACTCTTACCTCCATCTGACAGCTGGTCTGTTAGGTCAGCTATCTCCTCTGTGCAATCAACAGCAAAAAAACTCAGATGTCGTTACAATGAGCTTAAATTTGCTGCTGGATTAAAGCTTTGTGAGCATCTGATATTCTGGATGGAAGACGTGTGCATTGCAACTGATTCTGCTTCAACCTGCATCGTAGACAGTAAGTCTAAGTCCTACGGTGAAAACGTTGACAATACGTTGTCATTCTTACCCTGGAAGGCCTTGTTCTCCCTGCGTACAGCCTCCAGCTGCTCCAGACATTCTTCGTGAGCCGTCTTGACCTTGAAGAGCTCGGCGGCGTGCTGCCTGCTCTCCTTCTGGCAGCCCTCCACCTCAGCCACCAGCTCCTCACACTTCTGCTTCCAGTCGCCGAGCTGCTTCTCCAGGACACGCTGCTTCTTGTCCAGCGCCTGACCGCAGCTGCTGGCCTGAGGTCAGGTGGTATGCTGTGACTGCACTGAAAAGGTTTGCTGCTGCAACTTTTAGGCTAAGTTTACACGAGATCACAGCCTGGAAACGTCTACACGGCACAGACGAAGAAGACGACAGGAAGTTGTAGGAGGATGATGGCGCATCATGTTTTTATTGACTTATGATGTAAGCAAACTTGTGTGTGATTTTAATTGCACAGTTTCTAAGTTGTGTGTTTTTGACATTGGCGGACAAAGTTTTGGGCACGTTTGTAACGTAGACGCAGCCAGAGACTCGGTAGACGAGCGGCTGGAACGCAACAGAAATGTTACGGTTTAATTGAAGGGCGGTTCTGTGTAAACTCGGCCTTAATGTGGGTCGTTTGTCTTTGTTTTTACCTTCTCCAGGTCCATGCAGAGCTCCTCCACCTCTCCCTGCAGCCTCTGCTTAGTCTTTTCTAGTGAGGAGCATTTCGCCTGGGTGGCCTCCACCACTTCCTCGGCCTCCTGAAGCCTGGCTGCGAGCTTCTTCCTGCGATAAATCCCACATTACTGTTGTGGTTGTACGTTACAGAACCCATGCAGCGCGGCGCATTAGCCGACGGCAGCACCACACACTTGGTCTCCTCCAGCTCGTCGGCGTGCTGGATGGCGTCGGCCTCGTGCTTGGTCCTCCAGTGCGTCAGCTCGCCGTTGAGCTTGGAGACAAGGCGCTGCATCTCCTGCTTGCTCTCCTGCTCCTCCTCCAGCTGCTCCCTCAGCACCTCGCACTCCTGCCGCGCCGAGCTCAGGCTGCCGCCGACCACCTGCTTAGACTGGCGACAGAGACGCGGACGGTCGTCGGACGTTTGCTGCCAACCCGTCCAGGCGTTTTCTGAGACACACGAACCTTGACCTCCTCGTCCAGCTGCTTCTTCAGCTCCTCCAGCTGCGACTGGAGCAGAGACTTGCAGCGGGTCAGCTGACTCGCCCTGCTCTCCGCCTCCTCCACTTGTCGGCTTACGTCGACGTTATCGGCTGGTGGGAAGCAGAAGACGTGATTATTGACGACTAAGCAAGGTTAATTCAACCTGGACGCACAAAACAAGAATACAGTGAGATGATCTGACTGTGAAGAAGGTCCAAACACACGGGTCTGAGTTTGTGTTTGGAACTAAATTAGTGGACATTAAATTCCAGTACTTAAAACTTTAATGTTTGTTGTACGTCTGGAATCGATTATGGAAATAATCGTCAACTATAGTAATTCATTAGTCATTAACTGGAGCATTCGGGCTCATCAACATGCCATTTTCTGATAGAACGTCCCAGTCACAACAGTAATGAAGCCAAAACGGTGCAGAAATATGAAGATGTTCCATCTGATTCATTTTAAAAAGGAATTGAATTAGGTAAGTATTTGCATCAATGAATGTATTTCTAACATTGGATAAAGAAGGCTAATGTGGTTAAATAAACTTGCAGCTTTTGAGAATTTTTCTATCCAATTATTTGTCAGAACAATAAATCAATCGATTACTAAAACACGATACAATATTTGTTTTCTCATCTCGTCCAATTATATGGATATTTTCATGTATTATTGTATGAAAAAAAGGGTTAAGTGGTTAAATTAAAAATCTGCAGAATGTGCCAATTTATTTAATCCAGTTAACCGATTAATCGTCAGAATAATTGATAGATTACTAGACTAATTGTTGCAAGACAATGTTTTCAACTTTTCCTATTTTTTTTTTCCAAATTAATCAGTTAATCATCTGAATAATCAATAGATTACTAGGAAAATCTTTACAATACAATGTTTTTTATTACTCAATCGATTAATCGTCAGAATAATCGATTAATTACTAGAATAATCGTCAAAATACAATGTTTGTTTTCTTAGCTATAAAAGCAATCCAATTATTTGACTATTTGCATCTAATAATAGATTTGTAATATTGTATAAAAAAAAGGCTTAAATGGTTAAATTAAAAATCTGCAGAATGTGCCAACTTTATTATCTGATAAAGCGATTAAAAGAACAAATAGATTAATTGTTACTAAAATAATTGTTAGTTGCAGCCCAGGTTTTCTGAGTTGGTGCTTCTAACTGCTCCATGACTTTTAAGGGGGACTCAGAATAAGGTCTTTATTCTCACCGGATTTACTGACTGAACTGACTCTGACTTGCAGTCGGTGTACCTGACAGCCTGTTCTTGGCCACACTGAGCTCGGACAGCGTCCTCTGCAGCTCGTCTCCTCTCTTGTTGGCCTCAGACAGCTGCTCCTCCAGCTTCTTCACCTGGCCGTCTGACGACATCTGCATTGCAACGCGAACGTGAGACCAAAGCAGCGAAAATCACCTGCCTGCTTTAAACCGCACCAACCAGACACTCCTGCTAACGTCCCGACCTTGGCTTTCTGCAGGCTGTCCACCGACGCGGCCAGGTCGTCCACCTCCATCCTCAGGTTCTGTTTGTCCTTCTCCAGCTTGGCTCTGGTCCGCTGCAGAGCCTCGCACTGCTCGCTCAGCTCCGCCACGGCCTCGCCGTGCCGCTTCCGCAGGGACGCGGCCAGCGCCTCGGACTGGAGCGACGACTCGTCCAGCTCTCTCCTCAGACGCTGGAGTTCAGCCTCCCGCTTCTTGTTCGCCTCCATCTGTTTGTGACACAAACTCATCGTGAAAGTTTGGCTCCAATCGTCCCAAACTGAGGGGTGTTTTTTTTTATATATATATATTCTGGTGCAGCCACAAACCTCAGTGCATTTTATTGGGATTTCTTTCTTTCTTCTTTTTTTTTTAGATTAAAAACACTTTGGGAATATTACTTTTCCACTTCTACATACTGAATTGTAATTATCCTTTTAAAATAAATACATAAATAATATTTGCTTGGTGTTCTGCTGCGTGGCGCAGTGGGTTTGTGCTTAGCTTAAAAGCTTTTCTGCACAGATCGCACCGAGCCTAGCATGTGTTGGCAACAGAAATGAGCGCATGGTAAAAATGAACTTCGCCCCCCCGCCAACTGGGAATATATCTGGACTCATCCATGATGTATGCTGGCTAGCTGGCATGTATTGACAGCTACTTATTGGTAGAATCAAACCTTCTGCCTGACAGAAAAATCCTGAGACCAAAAAAAAAACACAACATATGAGACTAAATCATCCTGCCACAACAAATTTTAAGACCTGTGATTAGTGTATTTAATGCCAATGAACATTTTTAAATGAATCTAAGACATCTAAGGTCTTATTTTAAAATGCATGAATTTGAGGCTTTTTAATGGACTCCCTGTTTAAACTTCTCCACCATGGATTTTTTTGCTCTTCCTTAATGTTTTCTAAAATAAATTTGAGGCCTTGATAGACCAGCTGGATTTCTACTGCGATTTCACCAAATGTCAAATGGTTGCAGATGATTTCATTTTGGTGCGTCAGATGAAACGAGGCATAAACTCCTCCCTTTCACTCCGAGGTTGTGTGTTGCCTTGTGTGTCATTTTTTTTCCTCATCAAATCCCAACAAAATACAGAATACGTAAAGGATGTAGCGTTATAGAGAAACTTTTTCAGAGGGTCCTGCTCTGGCGAACCTGTGAAGCCGTGACGCCTCCTGCCTCCTCCAGCCGGTCGGTGAGTTCATCGAGTTCTCTGGTGAGGTCGGCTCTCTGCTTCTCCACCTGCCAAACGCACTCCGGTCAGAAAGCATCTTCAAGGTGACGAGCGAGCGCACATTTAAACGAACAGAGAGAAAAGAAACATCTGCTGGAATTCACAAAGTAAATCTGAATCAGTCACCACCTGACGGGGCGGGATCTTTAACCTGCAGGGGTCCAGCATGACTGACGGTAGCCTCCGCTGAGGTCAGAGGTCAGTAGGGTGGCACCCAATCAGAACGACGCAGGCGTGGAGCTCCTGTTTCCTGTTGAGGCTAACTGATACTCTGTGTTTTACTGCTGATGTTCTTCGTTAACATTCTTGAGCAAAGAGCCGTTGTTAATTTTAATATCTGCTTAAATAAAGTTATTTTCAAAAGGTCCTTTGAATCTGAGCCTCACTGGAAACATATTCTGATTTACAGACTGACTGGATTATCTCACTTTGACATGTATTAAAATGCTGCAGGACTTTTCTTATTATCTTAAATGTTGGAGACGTGGCAACCTCATAAAATTCTGCATACAAGCTTAAAATTATTACATTTCACGGTTTGATGACGCAACTTTAGTAGTTTGTGTTTCTTCAGTTTCAGCCACAAAAATACCAAATAACGACACCTTTTGACTGAATGATTCCACCGAGGTGAACAAACAACACTAATAACAAGGAAAGTTAATACTCTGACATTTTGAACTTCACGTTGCAAGAATTATTAAATTAAAAATGTAAGGTTTATTTTTTTTTAAACTCTCTAAAGTGTCGTTGAGGTAAAACTTTTTCTTCATGAGCGAAGCAGACATACTTGTTGTTTTTAAGGTGCCCCTGTTTTTTTTTTTTTTTTTTTTTAACAGCTGGTTTAAAGGCAGGCGTAGATGTTGAGACTAGTTCGCCGTGAGTTTCAGCCCCCCGGACCGCAACAATGAGCTGCAGCCGCCTGCACACCTCTGGCCGGGCAGCGGAAAACAGCTGCCTCACACTGGAGGCCTTCGTTATAAAGCCCCCCCCCCACGCTCCCTACCGTCCACCTGTACCCTGAAACACCCCGCCCCCTCTAACGCCGAACACTGGGCTCACTCATCAGCCTGGACCGCTCCGCTGGCTGAGTCAACACCACCCGACACCGCTCCCTCCATTCATGAGCTGGAAGGACCCCCCACTGAGCGCCCTGCTGCTGCAGAGGGCAGAGTCATCCCACCGTTTGCACAAGAGCGTGGAGGAGTTGTTTGTCTCCGTGCACACACACACACACATACACACAAAGGCGCGTTTGCAGAAAAGCTTTGCGGTGCTCATCATCCCGCTAAAGAAACTTTAAAGATGTCCAATGTTCCGTTCCTTTATACGTTTCTGGATTAAAACAGCACAAGCCTCGCTAGGCTAAGCTACATAAAAAAGAAACAAAACAAATCCCGAGCACAGCTTAAAGTATAGCAGAAATAAACAGAGTACGTTTTTTTTTTCCCTAAGTGGGGTTCTGCTGGGAAGTTATGAGTAGTTAATACCTTTCCTGCTGTTTCCTAACATCTTTGTTTTGTATAAATACAAATCAATTTTAAATGTGTTTTCCAGGGACATAGTGCCATTTCTTATCAAGTAACTATGTTACCTTCAGTTGCTATATAAATCAAATATGACTTAGAAGAAATCTGACTTTGTACTTTAACAGTTTTGAATTGGGCCACTGTCTCTTTAAGAAACTCCTGCTCTTTCTGAAACTCCGCCTTCAGGAACTCATCACAACATGGCTCCTCTATTACCTCTTTAACAAGGTTTTTACCAGCGCTTCACTGTGAAGTGGCTCCTATAAAGAGCTCATTAGATGCACACCTCCACCAGGTGTTTGCTGATTGCTGCTGGCTAGTCTGCAGGAGCTGAGTGGGAGAGTCCACTCAGGAAACTCATTTTCATCTGCTGATTTGGAGTGAATCAATCAGCAAAAGCAAAAGTGTCATTTCGTCGGATGTTTATCAGTAGCAAACAAGACGTAGAAGTTGAAAACTAGAATGGACCACACGTCTCAGAAATCTGAGACTGTCCTCCCGTCTGACCTTCTTTTAGAGTTTTGTATCTTCTATAAAGCACAGATCCAAAAACCATCTGAAGCAAGCGAAACTGACGCAGTTATTTTGAATCTTTTCTTGTCTAATGCAGTTCCTCAAAATCTGCATTAAGAAAAACCTTTGATGGAAACACGGCTAGAGTCTGTGTGAAACACTGTTTGGTTCACGTTATTATTCAACTTAGTCGCAAATTGTTATTCGTCTCTGAAAGAGCTTATCAACGTTTTCTTGACAAATTATAGGGATGCAATATTGTTCCATGCACCACCGTATCCAAGTTGTTTCAAACTGTTAAATCAGCAAAAAACAAAACAAAACAGGAATGTTAAGGTAGAAAAAAAAAACTGCAGCACACAGAGTTTTACAAGTTTGACAGGAGAGTCCGTCTGATTAGCCACGAGCCTCCCACTGCTCTGAGGATTTAATTTCTTCTCTCCAAACTCACCGCAGTGAGGCTTCTTTCAACAACAGGCAATGGAAAAACACAGACATGACTCAAAATATCCCAGAGTCAATTTGTACTTATGTCTTTAAGAACCTCGTTAGTGTTGTCATGGAGACGGTAAAAGTTCAACTGACATTATCCGAGTGTCAGATTATTTTTTCATACAGGAGCATGTGTATGTGTGTGTGTGTGTGTGTGTGTGTGTGTGTGTGTGTGTGTGTGTGTGTGTGTGTGTGTGTGTGTGTGTGTATGTTTGCTCATCTGAGTTCAACCTGGATTTACATTTAGTCATTTAAAAAACTTCTGAAAACACGTCCAAAAAAAAATCCCTTTTGCAATTGTTTTTGTGGATATATTCTTTTTTTTTTACAATAAAAATAATCAAAAACTAAAATTTTGTTACGCTACTTTAGAAATATTTGCAAGAAATTTTGCAATGTTTTTCCTCCTACCTCATTCCAGAATCTACATACAAAATACACAAAGAAAATAAAATATAAAGCAAACAGATTGGAAACAAAGACATTTTTACTCTTTCAAGAACTTAAATAGCTCGATTCTTGTTACTCGCCACATCGATCACGGACTACGAATTTATAATCAAGTAAAGCCGAAGCAGCAGTGCAGCAGAAGTAAAATAAATACTGCCACCTGCAGGTGGGAGTCAGCAGTCGATTAAATATCGTTTTTTGTGGAAAGTTTGCGATAAAGCGACAATTATGCATTGCCACGAAATAATGCAGGGATCTGTTGATTTTGCTTCAATTTATAATCTGTATTTATAAAATAAATGATAAAATAACGATGGATATAAATGTATTTACAACATTAGCTGAATGCTGCTCATGAATTCGTATGTTTGTGTGAGCTGTGAGTGTTGGGATGTTCTCACACCTCACAGTCCAGTAGATTTTAGGGACCAAAGTTGCAGCATTTGTTCCATTTTCAGCTGGTGAACAGTTTGACTTGGTCTGACCAAACTGGGCTCTTCAGACTTGTTTGTTTTGGTTGTATTTACCCAGAATGCCCTGCACTATAGTCCAGTTCCTGCTTTTGGAGGGAAGTCCAGTCTGCTTGAATCCACATGTGCATTCGAACTGCGCCAGAGTTCACTTCAACCAAACTGATACTGAGTTTTTCTGGTCTGTTTGGACCAGAGTTGAGGACTAAACAGGGTTGGTGTCGGCGCATCCGTAGAGCGTATATGCCTCTGTATGGAACCGTGTGTGTGTGTGTGTGTGTGTGTGTGTGTGTCTGCCTGGCATTCCACCCGGGAGAGGATCCACTGGAAAAAAAAAGAGCGCCGTCTGTCGCTCTGCCTCTCCAGATGCTATCAGGCTGAGTGCGACCCGAGGAGCAGAGTCTAACAATGGCGAGCCTGTCTGCAGCCGAGGTATGTTGTAATTGAGCCGCTCCGAAGACGGAGGCTGCCGAACAGATAAAGACCTGCAAGCCTCCGCGTGCCTCTGGCTCCGCTCTGCGGCTTTTCGGGGGCCGGAGGGGCTCCCGGCTAGCGCCGTTAACAGAATACCACCCAGAGTGGAGAGAGGTGAGGACAACGCGCCCTCGGGCCCACTGTCACTCCGTTCAACACTCCGGGTGAAGTACCTTCTGTATGAGGGCTTAAACGCACACGGGCTTTAAGACGGGACTTGTTTGAACTAACATACACTTGAAGCTCGTCAGCAGATTAGCTTTATATGAAGCAGACGTGGGTTTTTTCAGAAAGCTTCACGTAGCAGCGAGGATGTGTTGGACTGTTTGTGGTGGAGAGGCAGAAGGTCTCGGTGTTTATTTTGCCTGTAGGGCCGAGGTTTGGGGATTCCTAGGAACACTCAGTGGTGTGTGATGGGAAACATCAGACAGAGGAAAAAGCTCCGGGGGTTGCCCCTGTGTGCTAATCAGAAACACAAGGACTGACCCAAACCGGATTGTTATCACAGGTGCAGATGGTTTGGGCTGACCAGAGCGGAGCGGTAGCAAGTCAACCTGCTACAGCTTCTCCTTCCCTTCTTTCTTACAGAAGATGAATTTCAATTACAAAACGCCTGCGATTTTCCGCTAATGTCGATAAAAACACACACGGCTTCGCAATTGCGGCGTGGCCACTGAATATGAAGCCACGATTAAAATCTGATGTGAAAACGTTTCTTCACACAATAAGTCTTTAAAAAACACGCCGCTCCGTCAATCTCCTCCCCTCACTTCCTGTTTCCTTCTGTCTTTTCCGTCAGTGGCAACGTCCGGTTGTCGATCACGACTCGTGGTGATGTGAAAAAAGTGTTTCCAATGTAGTTTCACGAAATACACTGATTTCCATACAGACAAAAAAAAATAAAAAATACTTCGTCCTACCTCAGAAACGTTTTACCGACTTTTTTCAAAATGGCCGTGTTTCCACTAATCAAATCTATGTTTGTAATTCCAATTTGCGTATTTATATATTATATATTCAGCTCTGGAATAAAACTCTTTCTCTGATTTTACTCTTTATTGGTTTATGTTTGAGTAAAATGAACCTTGTTCTTTTATTCTGTGAACTACTGACAACATGCCTCTGAAAATCCAAGCAAATATTTAGTTTTTATTTGCAAAAAAATGAGAAATGGTCAAATTCATGAAAAAGATGTGGTGCTTTTAGACCTCAAATAATGCAGAGAAAACAAGTTAATGTTCATTTAGGAACAACAATGTTAATGTTTTTATCAGAAATCAATATTTGTTGGAATAACCAGGAGGTTTTGAATGGGGTTCAGAGCAGTGGGCTCTTCATTAGCTGAATATGCAGCTAGAGTCTCTAATCTACTAGCCTGTTGTCCACCTCATGAGCGTGATCAGAGTTAATCTGATCACAGAGCCGTTCGGCTTATCGTCTCTCCAGCCGATCTGCGTTTGCATCATTTATAGAGGAGAGAGTGGGAATAGAAAACCTGACAGTTTTTATCTTCTACCTTCGCTCTCATGGCCCGTTCTGCTTCCAGCTCCTCCTCCAGCTCCTCGATGCGGGCCTAAAGAGACACACAGGAGAGTCACTTCCATGAGCGAGAAGCAAAAAACCTGCTTTCACTGAACATTATAACGTGCTCCAACTATAGACTGTGTCATTACAACAGCAGAAAAGAAAAAAAAAAAAAAAACATTTAGCTATTTCAGGCCAGCACTTCTGTGCGGTTGGTCCCGCCTCGTGCCCTTTGCTTTCTCCAGAGATTTGGCACGCCTCTGGCTTTTTTTTTTTTTGTCTTTTCCTCAGGTACTAATTTAAAGAAAGAATGTCCTGCAGCCACCAGTGATTATCTTCAGCATGACCCCGGACTGGCCGAGCTGCCTTTGGTCAGCGAGACCAAAAAGCACCGATGCCATTTGTCTGACATTTGAGGAATTTGGCTGGAGGTTTTTTTTTTTTTTTTTAAATTTTTTGTTTACGTTTTACAACCCTGGCTAAAAGTCAGAGCCACGGCGAGTCAAGGTTAATTACAGAGCAGATAAGAGTAAAAAAAAAAACCAAAAACACAACCAGAGATCATAAACACCTGAAGAAATCCCAGCCATCAGCTTGAGATCCTGATTGATGGATTTTTAACCCTCAGGGATCAGCTTCATTTATAACCCTTTCAACTCATTAAAGGCAACAATATCCACTGAAAACAATGCAATAAAAAAAAATAAAAATGGGAAATTTTACTATTTTTGTCCTTGGATAAATAATGCAGTGCCAATCAAAACTAATAAGGCACCTAAAGTAATATTTTGTAGTTTTTCTGCACAGAACTAGAACCGTATTGAACTATATCAACAGGTCATATAAAAACAGAGAAGACATGCTAACGTTAGCCTAGCATTAAAGCACACTGCTCAGCATGAAAACGAGTCCAGCAGAAGAAAATGAAAGAATAGAAGAGGACTAGGAGAGACTGTCATGTCAAGGACATCAATGGTTAGTTTGTATCTGACTAAATGAGCTTATTGTGATTACCTATGTTGACCACTATGGGGTGCTGTTTGTAACGTTACATAGTTAAAAATGAACAGCAATTATTTTAGCCATTTAGCCTTTGAAGCAAGAAAAAACAAATGGGTGTTTATTTTCCAGAGTCTTATTTCCACCATGTTATTTATTCACTTATACAGTTGCAAAATAAATATTTAATCACCAAGCTGAATGTTTAGTTCAATGCTTCCCAGAACCAAACCTGGAGAAGATTCAACTTCTGTGCACCACAAATCTCGGACAAACTGCAACACAGCTGGAACACTGACTTCCTTTAAATCAGGACCCACATGTTAGAGTTGGTTCTGAATCATGAACATTAGCCAACATATTGTATGTGGATCGAAGATTTTGATGATGACACTTGACAAAATGTAAGGCTTGTATGGTTTTATGTTTTTATAATGTAAAGCACTTTGAACTGCCTTGCTGCTGAAATGTGCTATGCAAATAAATTAGATTGACTGATTAAAATCTAACGCGGCCACTGAGGCCTGTTGAGTCCAAGATGGAGCTCTTGGATTTTTTTCCTGGGAAAAAGAGTCTCCGCCTTGTGAACAATGTTTCCCTTTTTAGAAAAATGAAACTTCAGATCGCTTAGAACTGGCCTCATAGTCCTTCTCAGCTTGACCAATAGCAACAGTTGCTTCTCTAAGGTCACTGCTCTTTCTGTTCCTTCTTGCCATTGCGTCAACGCCATGCCAAGATCCCAAGATGCAAAAGATCCTGCTCTGTTCAAGTGGGCTGATCAATTCAATGCTGTTCTTGTGTGTAAACACCTACAATATAAAGATATTATGCTTTATTAATTATGATGAAGTACAAAAATGTCAAGGTTTAACAATGATGATAAGGCATAATGTTACAAAAATAACAATTACTAACTTGAACTCAACACAGAAGACGTTGCAGTGCTATTTACAACACAAAACTGTATCGTACAATCAATGGTAAAAATAATTTTAATTGATCAATACTTTCAGTCCAGAGGTATTCTTTCAAACTAAGTGAACCTGAAGTGCTTCCCCCTCCTCTCTCCACCATAAACAATCAAAATGCTTTTGCAAACATAAATCACTCACAGCACGTTTCTGCTGCACTCATCTCCTGCCAACGCTGTGTTTTCTACTGCTGATAAAAATTTATTGCCCCCTTCCACAGCCTGCCGTGTTGTGTCATGTTCGGTGTTATCTTCGGTTTCTATCGTTGTCTCGGTGTCAGGAAGTTGTGTCTGACATGGCGCGTAGCCCGGGGGCCGCCCGCGGCTCACCGATGGCGGTGAAAGCCGCCTGTCGGCAACACGCCACGCAAAACCTCCCAAAGCACCGGACGCCTCGGACTCTGACGAAAGTAACCATTCAGGGCAACCCGTGCTGCCTTTGATCCAGCAAAAATCTCTTGATGCCAGCAATTACTCATACGTAATAACTCATCATTTGCTCTCTTAAGAGTTTACATAGACTCAAAGAAATGTTTGACTTACATGCCAGTGGAGGACATCTGTGGAGAGAACAGCCATGGCGAGGCAGCAGCAGTCCGACTGACTGACTGACTGAATGAGAGACTTACTGTCCCAAACATGTGCACACACACACGCACACACACACATGCACACACACCTTGCTGCTGATCCCCTCCGGCATGTTGCTGTCCACACCCCCTTATGCATGCACAGCCTCTCTCCGTCTTCCCGTCAGTTCCCCTCTCACATATCTGGTTCTCATTAAATTCCCACCTTCAGCTGCCTCAAAATGCATCGAGTGGTCCAGAAACAATTGTAGAAAATGTGTAGCGTAGCAGCGTTTGTTGTGGAGATTTACATAAAATTGGCTCCAGACTAAATGATTGCTCACATCCCTCGGAAATGTAGAGGAGATAACATCAGAAAGTCATAAAAAAAAAGAAAAAGAAAAATAAAGCTGCTCGATTTGATTGCAGGGTTCAATCTTCAAATTTGCATGAGCTTGTTTTTTTTTCTTCTTCTTCTTCGTTTTTTCTCCTGCTCTTTGATATGATAATAATTGTCCATAAACTGGAATCAGATGTGGCCTCAGAGTCGACGTCTCCTCACTTGGGTCAAAGGGGATCTACAGCAGCGTGGGTTGTTATTTCCTGTAGGATCCACTCTCAACAGAACATTTTTAAACCCCCGCATGTTCACCAGGAAAAAAAATAAAACAAACAAAAAAAACATTTCAGACTCTGTGCTGTTGTAAAATACTCATGTTAAAATACTGTAATTCATTACAAGACCCTACATGTTGGTTCTTCAAAGTGCCTGTGGACGTTTGGAACCGTGCAGTAAACGTGTTGTCTGATTGATTTGACTTGGAACGCGACGACAGGCCCTGTACACCTGGTAAAGACAGGCAGTGAAGGTGATGAAACAGGTTAGACCAGCTGAATCTGGAGATGACGCCTATGGAGGGTACACTCTAGATGCATCGGGATGAAGTCCTTTAAGGCATATTTTGGGTGTGTTTTTAGCAAATAAGCACAAATTAAGGGGAGCATTTAAATAGTGCTATTTATTTCAAATGCACAAGTTACCATTGGGTACCAAATATCTTATATTTATATACTTATATTTGAAATATCTTATCACCCATTCCTTTTGTGATTGAAATTCTAACCCAACCCAATTGTGGAATAAGTACAATCTGACGCAGATGGGAACAATCAACAACTTTGCTCGTGCTTAAAGCACTGGGTGCCTTTGGGCGGTGAAACCTCGGCACTGGGGAAATCCATCAAAGGTGACAGCTGGGAGTCGTAAGCCACGCCCTTTTTTGTGTCCTTTGACATTCAAACACCTGAGCAGCCAAACATTGTTTATAAGTTTTCTTAAGGCTCCATTCTCTAGTCACTCTCATTTATCCCCTTCAGACTCAGTTTATAGTAAATTACAACATCTCTAAATCATGCTTATGCTGATGACGCACAGCTTTATATTTCTGTTTCACCACATGATCGCAGTCACTCATATTTGCTGAGTGAGTTTGTCCAGGCTATCAATGGGTGGACGGGCCAGCAGGTCCCACGTTAACGCATGAAAGACAAAAGTTTCTCAAGACCAGTTGCCTTGCAATCTGAAAAGTTGTGAGTTCAGTTTTCACTTCCTTCCTCAATCTGTCGTCCAATCTACATAGGTGTGTATGAAAACTCAGTCTATTTAGCATTGACAAAGGAAGGCTAAAATCTACAGAGCGTTATAAAAACCTTAACAGAATTTATGTACTTAAATATCAATAGCCACAAAAAGTCTCTCAATCAGCTTCAACTTTAAAAGAATTAACAGATTTCTTTCAGAGCAGATTTTAGTAATGGAGTTTGTGTTGATAAGTCTCGACCAGAAACAGTCAAACTGATCATATCATGCACTTCCTTGACTCGGCGTAAACCCTTCCTGGTCCACAGGAAACCAGGTAGCTTTCATAGTATCGACCATCATGTGAATCAGGTTATCAGAGGCATCTTTACTCCCAGGAAGAGAAGTAAATTAACTCAAAACAACATTCAGTTTCTAGGCTCCTCATCTCTGAAAACAATGCCATTAAACCTGACTCCTAAGCTAATGACTCCTAAACCATGAACTTCTACTGCAAAAGTAGAAAGTAGAAAACTTCAGGTTCAATTAAAAATATGTAGTATCACAAAGGCGCCTCAATTGTCACCTGAATCTACGCTACAACCATCTTTCAGGTACATCTTTCACTCCAAAATGAAAAACATTTACTCATACCCAGCTTTCTTGTTGTGCGGCACAGTATGAACACCTTGAGCTAAACATCTGCTGCACAACCAAAACGATTCTTATCTCTTCAGACACAGATGACCCCAAAGCACTCCGGCTGAGGGTAACTGCTTTATGGCCACGCAATAAAACTACTAAAGAACCTGGCTCTGTGGAGAGGAATGAAGCATGCGGGCCGCCCTTTAAGCCAACTGCTTTGAATTATGGGATGAGGAGGGAGCTTCATTTTTCATGACAGACAAAGCATTCTTTTTTTGAATCCAGGCAAGTCCACAGACGCATTTGCGCGACCATTTTGTCAAAGGATAACAGACGATGGAGGTCAGGAGACAGCTGACTGGCCTGTCCATCTGCATCTACACCTAAACCCAGACGTCCTTATCTCTACAAGTGAGCAACAGACATAGACTAAACACACGCCAGTGACAGAGATGCATGCTATCGGAAATGATGCTATCTGGATGACACACCAAGATCCACAAAGTTTACAGGACAAAGTTTACAAAAGGTTGCACCAAACAATCAGCAGTGTAATCCAAATAAAAGATGCCGCACTGATTTCTTAACATATTTAACAAAATGTTGTGCTACGCTAAGGACAGTTCTGTCGTCAACCTGCAAAGACAAGCCCTCCGTTGGCATCCTCTGGTCGTTCATTCGTCACCCTTGAAGCTGCTGATATCCTGCGTAAACACGTGCTTCCAAAAGCCAAGTGGAACAGAACCTTGATAACCTCCTGACGTTTTCTTCATAAGAATTACACCTGACCAGGTGTTACTGTATAACTTTTACACCTTCATGGAGGGGCCCATCGAGGGTTCTCTTTCTATAGATGATGCACTTGACAACGTCTTTCTGTATTCAGCTCTCTCTTTCCTAGATAATCAATTGAACGAGCTTCCCTTGCTGGAAAACGGACTGTTTTTGATCCCATAGATTTTTGTGCTGACTCGGAGCTTGGTTGGACTCAAAGATGGGCTTGGAGGCTTTTCAAGTCCGGGAATTTGATAGTTTGACCAAATCTGTATTGAAAACCTTCCTTGGCTATTCTGAATACTGCAAATGTTTCAAGGTATTCTATAAATTACAAAATAAAAAGGTGTAATTTAGTGGAAAAAATTTGGAGAAAATGTAAAATCTCAAAGTAAAAAAAAAAACAAGAAAGGGTTTTATTTTGAAAAACTGGAAGAGTATTTCCTTGTAGCGGTACTCAGAGAGGAACATCTGGGTTCCCCTACTTAACCTTTAATCTCCAATGTAATGATTGAAAAAACTTTAAAAATGGTATTTAGTCCAGCCAAAGAACACAGTCATGTCCTAGTAGGTACTGAAAATATGTCCGCATCAATAAACATTCACTGCCCAGGTTGTTCCACAGTAAACATCGGATCGAAATCCAACGTTTGATTTGTTGCGATATTTCAACCCACTGTGTCCGTTCAGTTTAACTCTCCCACAAAAACTCTGTTAGCTCTTCCAACTGACAATAAATAACAATAATAATAATAAAAACATTTAGCATGTTTGGCCTCCAGCTAAGATTTAAGGCTATTATCAGAAACAGCTTTTGATAAAACAGACAACAAGGTCAGGATCTAAGCTGATCTGTTAGCCAGCTGGCCAAAGCTCGAGCAGATCACTCAGCAACGCAATGAAACAAGAGCCCGGTTCGTTTTATACCGCCTCGCTTCCCCATAAACGACACTGACGAAGCGGAGTCAAAACAAGAACGCGTTTCTAACCGTACACAGTCACAGCATCAGATGGAGGTAGGAGATCCAGGCGGATTCCTGCAGGCCGCAGTTCCAAACCGTATCCTGACGTCCTGGGAGCAGGAAAGCGACTGATCCAATCACCAAGCGGACGGCAGCGGCTCTGCTGAAAGCCAGGAATGTGTCTGTCCACCGAGTCGTCAGCTTCTACTCAGCACCGACCGAGTTAGTAAGGAGCTGAGAGCTCGTGCTTGGGCCTGGCAGTGAAACCGTAAAATCCAGCTCACAACACACACACACACACACCACACACGGCTTAATGAAAACAAGACCTGAGCAAGACTTTGGGGGGGAGAAACTAAGAATCAGCTTGTTTTCAGACAAATCAAGGCTTCACAAAACCAAAACTGGGGCTTTAAAAGGATGCATAAGAGATGTGGAGTGAAACAGTCCATGTTTTAACTAGGTCATATATTGCAAGTTTTATGCTTGTCTAAGTTAAACGTGGCCCATTAAGGATAAATAAATAAATAAAAACAGCTTGTTTCTCATGTTTCACACAAAGGAATAAAGGTTTATAAATATCTACGTCAAAAATCTCTGAAAGGACAATAAAGCGACTTTAGAGGATCATTAAAAAAAAGTCTGTTTTTATTTACATTTGAACAAGATTGGCATCTCAAAAATGATTTATGAGAATGTCTGACCATTAGTTACTTTTTGTTCATAAGACCAGTTTGGTTTGGATAGCCATTTCCCCATTAATGAATAAATAAGGTCTTAAAATATGTTTGATAACCTGAAACATATGGAGTAAGTTTGACAAAAAACAAACAAACTTAAAAGCAAATGAAAACTGGCATGGTAAATTTGAGTGGTATTTTTATGTTTGACATATTTTACAGAAATTAAACGAGGGACGGATTATTTAATTAGCCTGTACTCGTTACCCATCAACTTCAGCAACAAAAAATCCAACAACAAAAACATCTTACCAAGCGTTTTTAGTCAAGTTTCTAGTGAAAATATCTTAGAAAACTTGAAATGAGACAAAACTACTTTACAAATAACTTTTCCACAAGGCAAAGCAGCTTGTTTGAAGTCAATAATTCCTTAATATTGATGAAAAAGTTACTAGTTCCATTTCACTTGGAAAATGTTCTTGTTCATTTTGGGCCATATTAAAAATCTGAATGTTCTTAAAGGGCCGGTTGTGCCAGAATGTATTGACAAAACCAATTGGACTGTTAAAATATCAATAAATATCTGATCCTCCAAGATTGTGTGATTGTTTTTGTGATTTTTTTTTTTTTTTTTTTACAGATTTTGTGGTGAAAATTTAGAAAGGTTT